TTGCTTCCTTGGTATTTCAGCGTATAAATGTATAACATTCATAACATTCAAGAATGACACATAATTTAGTCGATTTACATATTGTGTACTGATTCAATAAAATCCGTACACAATATCTTTTAGAAGAATCAAATATATATAACTCAAGACATTTGCTACACCTCCCACTTTGATTACTACAACTGCAACTTATTGTGTATTTGCATAACACTGAGCTGGTCATTCCAAGAGTTAGAAGAGAAATCAGTACTTTTCCACCTGATGTTTTGCTTTAGTGTTTGACCGTGTCGGATGCTGCAGGAGTTTTGTCTAGGTATAAAACATGTGTGCTCCTGTCGCTTATGTTGTGAACCAACACAAAAGCATGTCTTCTACTGACACACAATCCCAGACCTCCATGTCATTTATCATTTCTTCACTTCTACTAATAATAATCTAGATAATACAAGTTTTACATTGTGCAGATTGTCATGCATATTCAGTTAAACACACTCTGAAAGATATTTTTCCTAAAATCTGCACCAATCAGACCTCCACGGACAAACTATTCAAACAGCTGATCCATTATCCACTTTCTCCACAATTCCACTAATCAACATTACATTTTCATGCAGAAATATATTTGAGAAAACAAACCCCACTGGATCTAAATGAAGACCTTTTCCACAGACACTCACTTCTTTCAGCAGAGACAAAACTCTTGTGTCAAAGTCAAGGCTTCTTCTATTTGGATTTTATTTGTACAAAGGAGCTCCCCCGATGCTTTCTTAGAAACAAAATCAGCCTCTGACACATAGGTTGGTCCAATTCAAAAATAACTTTGGCAAAAGAACCCAGTGGACCAGCTGAACATTTTCAGCAGTTCACACAAACGATGTTTTACACTCCAGTGCAATAAACAATGAAGATTGACATAACATTAACGATAGAAGACACTCCTCAGCCATGTCTCTGTCAGCACCATGCAGATTTGTGAGGTTGAAATTGAGCGTGCTAATATTCTAGACATATTTGAGGAATCACAGAAATGTTTTTTGGTAGACAACACAAGAATCCTCACTATTCTGTTGTAATCTGAATTTTTAACTCCATTTTAACTCAATACAATCTGTACGATACATGTTTGAATTCAATCTAGATTATATAAAAATTCATATCTCGTTGCACCTGTAGAGAACAGACCTCGGCCAAGAGGCGCAATTCCATTCCATAGTCATTCAACAGCCTCATTTGTTCCTTTGAGCTTACTAAATGTTTTCTGGTGAAAACGTAGCAACCTGAAGGTAAAACTGGAGATTTAGCCAGAGATTCCACTTGGCTAAATGCAATAAAATGTAAAAAAAAAAAAAAAAAGAAAGAAATAAACTTCCCTCATTTCATAGATGATGTGTATTCCTGTCAGCTAAGGAGAAAGGGGAATTCCGCTGTTGCATTGGCTGTGTGTGGTGGGTGTAAAAAATGTCTAAGTGGAGGTTTAAATTTTGTTTTAAACATACAATTGATCACACAACCAGATTTAATTTTGATTTCCTCATATTCGCTTCGTCACTCATTGACCTTGCAGATCTGTGCCATAATCATGTATTCTTATCGTTCCAAAATATAGGTCTTATAATAGACCTGCCTCACCGCAAAAAATGGAATGTGGAACGTAGAGATTAAACAGTAACAGTGCACTAGACACAGCAGGAGGAAGTACTCATTAAATATTCATGAAACTTTTCACTGTATCCAAAAGGGTTTTTTTCTGCCTGTCACAACAAACGTAATGTCGCTCTCCTAATTATCCCTAATCGGAGATATCAAAGATCACACATACAGTACATTTCAACAGGAGCAGGGGCCTCTGCAGCTGCCATCACATCATGAGAGAATTAAGATGACTTTCCACTGTGATTGCACAACATGAGAGAGATCTCTGCACATCGAAAAAGGATTAAACATTTTCATTAATCCCAACAAAGTCAGTGAAATAAAGCTGGGGTACCTCACTGTCAAACCCCAAAAGTGTAACTAGTACCTAAGTGGCAAGATTAGGTTATATATACAGTATAAGGTTTCCAAAGAGTGTATTACAACTGTTAATATACCAAGACCCGGCTGTCTGTCATAATTCACAGCTCCATTAAGGTTAAAATTGATCACAGATGCAAATGCAAAGCCAATGGTTACTCTGGAGGAGATGCCGACACCCACAGCTCACTGTGCATGGGGCAAATATTAGTCAAACACTACACAAATCTCACCTGTATGGACGAGTGCTAAACATAAAGCCAGTGTTGAAATAAAGGCACAAGAAGCAAAGCGGGGACATATCCAACATGGGGAGGAAGATACTGTGGTCAGATCAGTCTTTTGCTCAAATCCAAAATGTTATCTTTGCCTCAAAGCTAACACTGCCCATGTCCCAGTGCACAATCCACAGTGTTAGATTTGGGGGTAGCAGAATCATGTTATGCGGCTGCTTTTCTTCAGCAGGAATAGGGATGAGTGATGATAAAAGCTTCTAGAGCTGGAGATTTCACGTCATATAAACTCTCAATGTATCTTGTGCAAACCATTCTTTGAAGTTTTGCATTTCCAAAAAATAAAAAATAAAAATCATGTATCCTTTTGGATCTGTTCTGTTGTTTACTTTTAACATGCAGACTTGGACTCTGTCAGATCTTTACAGCAGCTTCCTCAGACAGAAAAAGATCTTCCTCTCTGCTGATCTCAGTCCAGTGTCAAATAGTGACCCTCGGGGCTTAACTATGCAAAAAAACTTTTCTAATTAGATTATGACTACATGTTGTGGTCTGAATCATTCACAACATTGGACATTTACAAGAATCTGTCTGTGATTGGGACAAAGAGAATATATCATTACGAAACAAAAGATTGGCAATGCACTGATTACATTGATTTTAAATGAGTTTAAGTTTTGATGTTTTGGAACACTCAACAGGCCATGTTGTATGTTCTTGTAAAATCAGTGGAGCTCCACTGTGCAGCCCTCTGTCACATGATGCATTGCTCATAGTTTTGATAAATCATGCTGCTTCTAAACAATGGCAAACACATACTTTTCCCTTGCATTGCAGATTGTGGAAAACACAGTTTTTCACGTAAGCAAAAGGCTGATGATAAAAAAACACACCGATCCGTTGGTCCGTAAGAAGCAGATGACCAATGTCCATACATTTTGATAAATGTCCATAAAAGTCCATGAGGTCAGATGTCAAACACACCTGATGTGTGCATTATAAGTTAAATCTTATTTACATATTAAACAAATCACATAAGCACAACATATTACAACATACTAACCCTAACCCTAATGAGTTCAAGATCAATGAACTCATTAGGATAAAAATGAGTTATCCATATGAAAATATTGAGTTTGAGTCAAGGCTAATTGACAGGCCTAATGTCATTGATTATTGCATAAGAACACACATGTATAATTATCCAGAACGAGTCGTAACTTAGCTCCTTAGAAAGAACATAAAACCTCTTTGCTAATTACTTTTTGTGTGAATAAAAAGCAATTCATTATTGCCTTCTTCATTAAGGGAAAGGTCCTGTTACTTTATAATTACGGAAACTGCTGCAAAGAGTAAACACATAAAGAGCAGAGGAGCTTTCAGGCTGTGATTGACAGCTGCTGTTGGCCTGGAAACAGACAGTACACAATCTAAAGCGAACAGACGCTGTTGCCGCGATTGACCTCCGGACACGGGCCAGACAGACGGCCCCTCAGGACACGCACTTTAATTGAAAACAACACACAATAAACTCTTCTGGGCCTCTGTCCCAGGAGCCCCTCAACTCTTCAGCACAGAGGGTACGTGTCACAATCATCATTCTCCTGGAGACGCTGTTTCTCATCCTCCTTTTGCACTGACACCGGTGCAGCTTACTGCAGTTACTGTGTTGTTTTTTGTAATCTGTGATGCAATAATTTGGCAGCATTCAGCTGAGGGACACACTTTCTTCAGAAGAGGGACATCTTTGGCGGGATCTCCTCCAGTGGAACATGTCCAGAACTAACACCTCAGGGAGGTGTCCATGAGGCTTCTGAAAAAGATGCCCGAGCCACCTGCTTTCAAATGAAGAAGCTGCTCTATTCCGAGTGAATGAGCTCACTGAGAACTGACTGAGAACTGACTTGGAACAATATTGCACATTTAAAAATCGCATGAAATTTCACAGTGTATGCACAGCTTTAGGGAGCGCCCAGACACTCTACGGAGAAAACTAATTTCAACTTGCATCTAGGATCTCCTTTTGGTCTCTACCCAGAGCTGGGAACATAAATTAAATCAAGAGCTTTGTCTTCAACTCAGCTCCTTCTTCCCCACATCAGCCTGATACACCCATCACTGCACACGCAATCCCCCTGTCAATCTCACGCTCCGTCCTTCCCTCATTCGTAAACAAGGCTCTAACATACTTGAACTCCTCCACTTGAGGAAGAACCTCTCCACCCACCTGGAAAGGGCAAGGCACCTTTTTCCAGTTGAGAAATCAGCATCTCAGAGATTTGGAAGTGCTCATAGTCAACCCAGGTGCTTCTTTTATGTATTATTTTACATCAACATTTCTATTTGTACCTATGTGCACACAAAATGCGAGTGTAACATACGCTTATAACGTGAATTGGAAAAGCTACACTGACCTCGCCCATCCCAAATACAAAACAATCGTGTTTGCGGACATAGATAAGGAAGATAGAAGCATAAAACGATTATATTTTCATGCTTCTCAAGCCCTTAAAAATACAAGAACAGAGTCATTAAATTGTGTATTTGTGTGTGTGTGCCATAGACTGTAAATGTGTACCTTTGCCCAGCTTCTTCATAGAGCTGAGCTGTGTGCTTGAGTTGGTGCCAGTAATATATTAATTCTCATAGTAATTACGGGCTCTTATGCATGCTCTTGATTGGTTTTTGAGCCAAAGTGCATAAACGCTGATGTGTGAAGTGATCAGAGCCTCAAGCAAAACCTGGCGTGCGTACCTGTGGGCAGGGTGGTCCTCTTCCTCTTGTTGCTGCTCTCTGCTCCGCTCTCTAAAGCAGGACAATCGCTCAGTGACCTGTTGAACTGCAGCGGCTCTGAGTGGGACGCAGGGTCCAAGGCCAGAGAGTTCAGCCCTGCAGAACAAAATAATAAAAGATTAGTGATGTAAAAAAAGGGACATTTTCCAGTCACTCTTAAATTATTGTGCTGCAATTAGAGATTGATCAGCATGTTTTTGTCTGGTTGATGCCACATTTCTCAAAGTTTGACTGGCTGATGTATATGCCATTACATTTTTATTTATGTTTTACTTGTCTTACTAGTCTTTAACTTACTTACTTGTCTAACTAGTATTTAACATACAAGATATATTAAATTATACTAAATCATAATAATAATAATAATAACACTCTCATGTTGACTTGATTTCAATATAATACAGTATAGTATACCATGCCATGGCAGCATATTGAGAGGAGGTTATTATGGTATTTAGGGAGATGTTCGTACCATTTACAAATGTAAGGAGTACTCTAATAATTGTTGTAAATCACTGCTTCACTGTCAATCATTGTGATCAGCCCCCCCATTTGCAGTGAATCGCCGAGTCTGTTTTTCTATCCAGCGAGCAGCTTACCCTGGTTATTGGGGAATTCTGAGCTGAGAAGCTGTGAAAGACAGCGAGGGATTGAAGATAAAACTAGAGTGGCCCTTATTTTTCACAAAGAGGAATTCTAGAAAAATACCCCTATTTATGTTAATAAATTGATAATAAATAATTAATAGATTACTGATTGATCAAAGGTAATATTATATTGTAAGGCTGTATAAGATGTTCATAAAGTTACAATAAATAGTTTTGTATTTTCATTTATTTTTTCCTAGTCTAGTGTCAGGTCCGTGAATGCAGCTCAACATCTAGATAACCTTTTACCATCGCGAGAGGTGATATTCAGTTCTACTTGTTGTAAGGCGCTCATGGCCCACCGTATGGACACTGCTCAAACGCTGTCTACACCCGAGCCAGAGGCCGCAACGCAGTGTTTCAGCTGTTATTGTAACATACCTTTTGCTGGAGCTCATTAAAGGTCACAAAAAAAGATCCTTAGTCGCGTGTCTCGCTAACCCACGCACCTCCGCCTCACCGGAAGGTAAAGCACAACAATATATATATATATATATATATATATATATATATATATATATATATATATATATTACTAAATATTGTTTCTAGAGCCCTGACACTTAAAATAGAAAATACAAGTGGAGTGAAATTATTATCTCATTATTCAACATTATTTAGGTAAATGTAATTCTTCAATCAGTGTTGTTTTTTAATGACTTATTGTATGCTTGGAAATGCTCTATGTGTTAAAATGTCCTTCTGCGATGTCTCTTTTGCTCTGAGATGAGATCCCAAAGCCAACTAAATATAGTCTACGATGTCAACAAGTGTTTGTCAGTGCTCATCAGGAAAATATTTAACCCACACAAAAATAACCATTACACATTTTAATCCAGTTATTACATTCTTTTTAAAAGCCTTCAGCTCTGAGCTCAGAGTGGGACAGCTGACAATTCCTCCATCAAATCAAATTAGATTCAGTCTCTTGCTGCTGCTGATAAAACAAAGTCATGAATCCTCTAGGACTAAACCTGTTTTCACACTAAATGAGATATTGTTGTATTTAGAAGCAAACATGAAGTATTTGACACATCGCAGCAGGCATCTTCTCATTCCATGTTCAGCTTAACTATTATCTGAGTTCAAACTAAAGACAATAGAATTCATAAAGATGGAGATGGTCTTTCAGGCTGTGAAGGACTGACAGCAAATTAACCCAAAAACGTGAAATGGGGACTTTCAGAAGAAAAACTTTGGTCCACAATGTACAAGAAAAACAAAATAAAACAACAAAACAGTAAATGAAATTGTAAAACACTTAGGGCAGGGGTGTCCAAACTATGCAGCCTAAACAAAGTAGCCACTGAGGTGCTTTTTGAGGTAAAATGTAGTTATGTAGTACCTTTGTAATCCAGCCATTCCTTTTATTTGTATACAGTGACATTTGTTTTTGATTATGTCACAAAGTTCCATATATGGCAGAAATTAAGCTGGGGTGTGCTTCCATTTGCTCGTAATATCACAACCCAAGTTTACTTTTGAATGCAGTTGTTGTTGTTTTTGTGCTTTACATTTTATTTTTATTTTTTCTATATGAGATGTTGCTGCAGTATAGTGTTGATGCTGCTGTGACCCATCCTGCTCCACCCAGCGGCTACTCCACATCTGCTGCTTATGACCTGAAGTGCTGTTGCTTATTATTACTATTGTTAGCTCATTGGATCAATAAAGTATCTATATATCTATCTGTCTATCTGTTTATATGTTAAGGCCCAGAACAGCCTGGATCCAGTCAAAACAGTTCTACAATCCATGTTGCTGGCACCTGACAAGTTTTGTTGAAAAAAGTGGCCTTCTCACTATAAGGTTTGAACACCCCAGACTCAGGAGTATATTTATTAATACCGTGGATGTGCGAAAGTGATTAGCACTCCTCATCATTGGAGCAAACTGACGTATATGAAGCGCAGATGCCATCACTACTTTAATTGCCAGCACTCCTTCACATATTGTAAAGTAACAGACACATCTGAGCAGTGAAAGACACTTGTGATGCAAACGTTTGAGTTCAGAATTCTACATTTACGGTGAAATAATGTTAATCTTCCAGGTTGTATTATTGAAACACAACAAAAATGTCATAAAACATACATATCTGGACATAACTTAAACAGGACTGACACATAAGCCATCCTTGCAAAAGATCATCCGTTCGACATTTTTCTTGCAAACACATTCTACAACTTTCACGGTATTAAAAGAAATGTTCATATTTCACTGTTGCTGTGGAAGCTGATTACAAATCTTGAAAGCAGAAAGAATGAAAGATTATTCTGAATGTTTCATACATTTTCTTGTGTATAGAAGTGTAGTATTGAGCTCTCACTAAAAATGGAAATATTTTGAAAAAGGACTGTAAGCCAAAATCATAAACACTATAACAAACAAAGACGTAATACCATGTCTTCGTTTCACATTTTAAGTTGAATTACAAATATATATATACTTTTGAATCATGTAATTTTCCCATTTTCACCTGGAAAAACATTAGGCAGATTATATTATTCTGTGCGGTGCAAACGTCACTGAAACATCCATTATAATAACCTGGTCGTACCACACCATAGTACAAATGACATTTCGTACTAAGGTCTCGAGGTGTTCCATTGAGCTCCGTTTACAGGTGGGAGGGGTTAACTCCTTTTGCAGATTGAAACGATTGGATCTGAGTTTACCATGATGTATGTAATGCGCCCGAGTGAGTGGTTAGCATTTAGCCAAGCCATCTCCTTTGCCGCTAACGGAGCCCGTGGGGAGTAAGCGATTACATTTGCTAAACATTCCTCTTGCTTCGGCTTCAATTTCTTGATAGAACCAGACCGGATTACTTTACTATTGCATTGTTCGCCATTGCCAAACTACAACCTGCCTGTTCGACGCAAACTCTTGACGTCACCCACAACTAACTACAACACCTGCCTTCTGCGCTCTCTGAATGGTCGGTCGAAATTCAACCGATTGTAGTCGCTAACACAGGGACTAGACCCAGACGTTACATGCAGTGAAATGATGATTGAACGGAGTGTACGGATGTCTAAAGCCAGGCTACCATTAATATGAGACTGCAGGATTTTTTTCTTCAAATATATCCATCTACCAATCAAATGCTGCTTACTCGAGAGTTACTATAATAAAAGCAATTATCATGTGTTAGATAAAGTGAACACACAAGTCTTCCTCCTCAGAGCCCGTCTGTAGTTAAGACAAAACTACAGAGCTCTTAATCAAGTGATACAAAAAATGAATCTGAATCTGAGACAAACTCATACAAATATTGACTTAAAGTGATAGTCTGGAACTCTGAATGAATTAGGGTTAGAAAATTGACCTCCTGGGCTGAAATGTTGATATAAATAAGTCATTCTATGAATTCTTGTATCACGGGAAATTTCCGCCGTCCCCTCTCTTAGCTATAGCTCAAAATTCACAATGCCGTCCAGTTTAACCAATCAAGTGATGCCAAGGGCTGTCAATCATCACGAGCGCACAGGCTCGTACTGTAGCTGCGCGCATGCTCAGTTGTTTGTTTTCACGGAGCCCCCGAATCAAGCCTTCATTAGAAAACTGAACAAAGAATTCAGCGGTGAGTGAATATAAACTTAACCAAAATCCATAGTCAGATCCTCTGCAAATGTGTCCTAAAATGTTCAATTATTGTCAATAGCTACTAGCGATCGCATTTTGTCCCATTAAAACAGTGTTTTTGGCATGAAAACTTTGACCGATAATTCTGAAAACCTCTGTGCACGTGTGTTAAGAATGTATATGTATAATGTGGTCTCCAATTAACATTTAAATGTGTTGATTTATTGATATTTATGTTATTGAGCGTGGCATAGCCTCTCTCTCAGAGACAGTAGTGGCTTGTGACAGGAGCTGGAACCCCGTTGTGACCAAGTGTACAAACTACTGTTGGAGTAATCTTAGTATTTTACACATCTGAAGTACAAGCACAGATTACGTTGCCATGGGCAGCGCTCATTATTGATTTGAGAGGTCCGTTATCAAGAAATAATGACCGGTAGAACGTTTTGAAATTACATTCAAATCAATGGAGCGTTCTACTGCTGCTGTGAGGAACTGTATAACAAATTATGATTAAATATTCCAATATATTTGAATATTTAAATTGATAATCTCTCATCGCACGTTGTGGACCATTGACCTGGCGCGTGCACAGAAAAGAAGGCGTAGGCCAATCAGAAAGGAAGGGGGAGGGAGCTTGGGTCGTTTTTTTAAAATCATGTACCTCTCTCTCTTTTCTCTGTCAAACTCCAGACAGTCACTTTAATCCATGATATTAAGAGAATATTCCTACTCATGGCCTCCTAGTCAATTTAATAAAACCGGTATCCTCCCTGTTTTGAGAGCTTGATGAGTGCTTGGTTTGTATTCAAATCCCCCTTCACTTTGAGGACCTGTGCCCTTTCTGCCCAGACCATGTGTTAATGAAGCAACGGCTGAGAAGGTCATGTCTGCTCACACATGCTCACTGTCCAAAGACAGCAGCGCCCTGTTATGGCCTGAGAAACAAAGCAAAGTGAGTACTGAATGAACACACGACACAATAGACCTGCTGCATCTGGGCCAGAGGAGGTCTGCTCAAGGACAACATATTCAGCAGTGAAATGAAAATTACAGGTAACATGTGACATGCCACTAAACCTTTTTTTTTCATTCATTGATATTGAAAGACACGTTTTTTTTGAGCTACAGTATGTGGACAGAGATTTAATGCTGAAATTATACAATGAAATCCATCTAACTAGTTCCTGGCACTATTTTCACATGTGTGTAATTTGGCCTCTGTCACAGCTTTGAACCAGCTTTTTCAGACAGAAAAGTGAAAAAGGGAGGACCACTTTCACTCTGCCAATCAGCTTTGAACACAAAGCGTCAAATAGTGACTCAACAGGAATGAATTCTAATAGGCCAAAGACAGAAAGTCGTGATCTGATTTGTTCAATGTTACTTTTACAATACTCTTTATTGGAAAAAAACGCTGTTTATTATTATTAATAAAACTTAGGTACCCCAGCATTAATGAGCATTAATGAGATTGCAGATACATCAGATCCAAGTGTTTTTGTTTCAAAATGATCAAAAGCATCATAAGTTTATAGCAGGGTTGTAATTTATAATCTGATGAATGGACTTCAGTCTCAGTTGGAAGGGATCTGGGGAGAGCGCTAAATGCTGGAAGTCAGTCTGCCTCATCACACTGAAGGAGCTGAAGTGGTGTCCTGTGTCATGAAAAATGCAGTAAATGTCCAGGCGAGTGGCTCTGGACGGACAGAACTGCCTGGCTATCGTTTGATGGCAGACAGTGAGCAGAGGGGCAGAAGTAAAAGTCTGTCCTTCTAATTAAAATAGGATATTGCAGCAGGGAACACTGTCAAACATATTTCACATCGTCATTTGGCGCTGTCGCTCGCTCCATAAAGCTGCACTTCATTTCGGCGCCTCTTGCAGTTGGCTGTCTTCTTAAATTTATTCTCTGTTGGGTATATTCCCGGGATTACAGTTGGTCTCTGTGGCTTTGTTTGTTTCCAAATTGGCGAGTGTTTTATCACATCAAACAACAGTATCACGCCCTATAGATGCACATGTGTCCAGGGGGATTAAAGCAGAGGAGATAATGGCCATGGGTGTCTTTTTGAATCACCCACTTTGCACAAGAATGACATGATCTTGATATAGGCCTTGTCAAGTGTGAGATTCACTGCCAATGAAAAAACTGAACTTTTAACAACAGTGGGGAAATTTCAACAACCAAAACAATGGAACTATATAATAAAATACAAAAACAATGAACACAAGGATGCAGGTTCAACTTTGACACTAGTAACTAGTTCGACTGTGTAACAAATGTAGCTCGCGAAAATTCAATTTGGAAGACGTGAGCCAAAGCTACCCCCTCCGGGCCGACTCACATCCTCAGCCTATCGCACAGCAAACGCCCCCTTCCAATCACACCGTGCCGGACAGACCAGCCGCTTAAAAGCGGAGCAACTCCCATTTTACGGCCTCCCGAAGCCTCGCATCGTATGTTAGCTACCAGCGCCAATACAGCATGCAGTCTTCACCAAACGTTCGCGCGCCCGCGTCTCCTAATGACTCGGCGCCTGACTCCCCTTCCATCCTCCTCAGCAACGTCTCGCCTGTGCCCCCCAGCCCTCGTAAGAGTGTGCGGCTGGCTTCCAGGGACGCAGGGTCTGTGCGCACTTACCTCGCGGCGCGGGGTGTCGTGCCCGGCCCTGACGCTACGTCGCTCCAGCTCCAGAGCCTCTTCGACCAGCTGTCGGCGGGCTCGACCTCACCCCTCCGGGACCCGGTTCCCCCTCCCCGCAAACGTCAGTCCAAGGCGAAGCACACCCAGGCGAAGCGCGCCTGCCTCCCGCGGCCTTCCCTCGCGGATTCTGGGCCTTCCCCTGGATCCTCGGGCTCTCCTGCTGCGGCCCCCCGGGCTCCTCCACGTGCTCGTAGGCCCCGCTCCGCTGGCGCACCTGCAGCGGCCTCGGCGTCTCCCCAGGTCGTTCCTCCCGCGGCTGCTCCCCTGGCAGGTCCCGTGGACGCTCTCCTCTGGGCGCGCACGGACGCCATTCTGTCCGCTGTCTCCTCTCTCCAGCGCTCCTTGGCTTCGGTGTCAACGCGGCTTTGTGCCGTCGAGCACCAGGCTCCCGCCGCAGTCCCGGCGGTCTTTCCTGCCGTTGTCCCGGCGCCCTCTCCCATGGCGGCCTTTCCCGCGGACTCCCACGAGGCCGGCTTCTCCCTCGGCACCGCTGTCTCCGCTCCAGCACCCGGTAGGCCCTACGTCCATACTTTCTCCAATGTGTCCCCGCGCCTCCGCTCCAAGATTCTTCTGGGGCGCTATGTTAACTTGGTCTCTCTCATTCTTCCCTCTCCCGAGTGTGACCGGCAGGTGGTCGCTTCAGACCTTATCACCGCGGTCGTGAAGTCTGCGGATCCACGGTTGTCCCGTGAGCTAAACATTGGGGAATTCCTCGTCGCTTTCGGGGTCTACCGAGACGTCATATGCTCCCTGTATCCCGAGCGGAGGCCCGAGCTGGACTCATACCTAAGCCTGATGGGGGACCTGTCCCTCCGGTACGGAGGCTGCGTGTTTTACCGCTACCACAGGGCCTTCGCTGCCAAGGCCGCGGCCCTCATCACCCAGGCTAACTACCGAGTGGACTGGGCAACGCTGGACACTGAGGTGCTGCTTCTGACCATCGGCGGTACCCCCGCGGTTTCCTGCACCCGGTGCGGCGCCTCGGGCCACACGTCCCCCCTCTGCCCGGCCATCCCCTTCGGACACGTCGGGGGCGAGATGTCCAGGCCTCAAGGGCCGCCTTCCCGTGCGCCCGGAGCCGGCCCCGCCGCCGTATGTAATAAATTCAATATGAGCGTGTGCACCTTCGGTGCGTGCGCTTACCTTCATGTGTGTAGTCTGTGCAGGGAGGCCCACCCACGCTTCCTGTGTCCGCGGCGCGGCCAAGGCCGTCTCGAGGGGCCTTCTTCCAGGCGCTGACCAGGGCCCACCTCTCGACCCCGGTCTCCGTGCACGGGCTCGCCCGCGCGCTCGAGCTCCATCCTGACCGGGTCTTCGTCCAATTCCTCCTGTCTGGTCTGGCCCACGGCTTTCTCGTGGGCGTCGAAGCCCTCCCCTCGGCGTCTCTCGTATGCCGCAACCTCCTCTCTGCTTCCCGTGAGCCCCAGGTCGTTACGCGGCTTCTGGCACGAGAGGTGTCCCTGGGCTACGTCATCGGCCCTTTTTCCAGGCCCCCCTTCGCCCTGTTCCGCTCCAACCCGTTAGGCATCGCCACCCGTAAATACTCTGGGAAAAAGCGTCTCATCTTCGACCTCTCCTGTCCCCGCTCCGGGCCCACCCCGAGCATCAACAGCCTCATCCCTCTAGCGCCCTTCTCCCTGCAGTACGCTACCGTGGACCATGCGATCAGGCTGATAAAAACTTTCGGCCCCGGCTCCTGGCTTTCCAAGGCCGATATCACGGACGCGTTCAAGCTGCTGCCCATTCACCCCGACCACTGGCACCTGTTCGGGGTAAAGTGGCGTTCAGAATTTTTCTTTGCCGTGCGCCTCACTTTTGGCTGCCGGAGTAGTCCCTCTCTGTTTAATAACCTTGCGGAGGCGCTGTGCTGGATCCTGCTTAATCACGTACGGCTCCCCTCCGTCTTACATCTCCTCGACGACTTTCTCGTCGTGGACCCACCCTCGGACGGCTCCGGGAGCTCCCTCCGTAAACTCAAGCTCGCTTTCTCCGCCCTGGGAGTCCCCCTCTCCGAGGAGAAGACCACAGGCCCCGCCACCGCTCTGGAGTTTCTCGGCATCCGCCTCGACACGCGCGCCATGGAGGCCTCCCTACCGCTGGACAAACTCGAGCACATTCGCGCTGCTTCCCGGTCCGCCCTGTCATCCCCGTCACTTTCGAAGCGTCAGTTGCTCTCCCTCCTCGGGCATCTTAATTACGCCATCCGCATCGTTCCTCAGGGTCGTTCCTTCATTTCCAGACTCCTCGCCCTCGCTGGCTCCGTCTCCTCCCTCAATGACGCGGTCTGCCTGGACGCGGGGTGCCGCTCCGACCTGGCGTTCTGGTCCCGCCTGCTGAGCCGCTGGAATGGTGTCTCTTTTTTCTACAGTGACGTCGTCCTATCCTCGGACGCCCTGCGGTTCTTCACGGACGCGGCCCCGTCCGTGGGTTTTGGGGGTTTTTTCCAGGACCAGTGGTTCGCCGGGCCCTGGCCCAACGCTTTCCCTCAAAGCATCTCCTCCGCGCTCCACGAGATATATCCAGTGACCGTGGCCTGCGCGCTGTGGAGCCATACGTGGCAGAGGAAAAGGATTTCCGTGATGTGCGACAACCTCGACGTGGTCGCAATAATCAACAGAGGTCGTTCATCCTCTCCCCAAATCATGTCTTTCCTTAGACGCATCACATGGCTCTCAGTCCTGAACAATTTTATCATCACTGCTCGTCACGTCCCTGGTCACCTTAACTGTATTGCTGACTCTCTCTCTCGTTTCAAATTCCAGGAGTTCCGACGCCTCTGCCCTTCTGCCAACTCATCGCCATGCCAGATCCCCTGCATGGAATCCCTCGTCCTGGACTAGTCCCTCCGTCTCTTCGCCTCCTCATCTCCTCCGCGGCATCCTACATGAAGAGGGGCCTCTCACCTTCCACTCTGAAATCATACAGTTTCGCTTGGAAAGTCTACTCCAGCTTCTGTCACGCCCACCGCATTCCACTCATTCCGCCCTCTGCTGTCACCGTCTGCGCCTTCATAGTTCACTGCGCGGATAATCTCCATTATAAAACCACCTACATTCGCTCTTTACTCGCCGGGATACAGTTCCAGGCCCGCTGTCACAATCCCGCTGTCTCCTCTCTCTTCTCCGATCCATCAATCAAACTCGTCATCAAAGGCATTCACAATTGCACCCCGCATTCCTCGGACCGCAGGCGCCCCATCACACTGTCCATTCTCCACCAGCTCTGCGCCGCACTCAGCTCCAGCCCGCTCCCAAAGTACGTCATCGCCCTTCTGTCCAGCGTCTTCCTCCTCGCCTTTTACGGCTTTTTACGCATAAGCGAATTCACCAACCCCCACGCCACTTTTAACGCATCCCAAGACATTGCCTTCTCCGACTTGTCCTATTATCCCGACTACTTCAGCCTGCACCTAAAGCACTCCAAACGCAAAGGCGCTTGCAATATAGTCATAGCCCGGTCTGACACTTCTCCCTGTCCCTTCAGATCCATGATGCGCTACACTCGCCTCCGCTCACGGAAAGGAGATCTCAACGGACCGTTATTTCTCACTCTCGATAACCTCCCGATGTCCTCCAACTGGTTCAGAGCCCAACTCAAGTCTGTACTGCTGCTTTGTAACCTGTCTCCCTATCTCTACACAGCCCACTCCTTCAGAATAGGCGCCGCCACGCGTGCCGCGTCCCTGGGTCTCCCCCATTCTGCCCTTCAGCAGTTGGGCCGCTGGTCATCATCGGCCCTCTCCTCATACATCAGGCCTGACACTCCGACTATCCTCGCAGCCCAGCGCCTCTTGGCATCTCCATAAATCACTCGCAAAACTCCTGGTGGCGGCAGCAGCTGAGTATCCGCTATAACGATCACAGCATATAACGGTCACAGCATATAGTGATAGCGGTCATAGCGTTAGTGATAGCGGTCATAGCGTCAGTGTTAGCGGTCATAGCGTCAGTGATAGCGGTCATAGCGTCAGTGATAGCGGTCATAGCGTCAGTGGTAGCGGTCACAGCGTTAGTGTTAGCGGTCACAGCATAGCAAAAAATGGTTAGCGCATAAACGGTTCACAGCATAGAGATAGCGGTCACAGCATAGCGATAGCGGTCACAGCATAGCGATAGCGGTCACAGCATAGCGATAGCGGTCACAGCATAGCGATAGCGGTCACAGCATAGCGATAGCGGTCACAGCATAGAGCAGCCACGACGTCTGTCCCCTGCAAACCAGGCTGCAAAACTCGATCAACACACAGCCTTTTTGGGGATTCTACGCGCCCCAGCGCAGGAGCCTCCCCGAACTGAAGGCCGCACCGGGGCCTAGGGCGCCAAACCACCTCTCACTAAAATACTCAAAAGCTTTCTTGTTTCTCGTCTCTCCAAATTGAAATGTAGCTCGCGAAAATTCAATTTGGAAGACGTGAGCCAAAGCTACCCCCTCCGGGCCGACTCACATCCTCAGCCTATCGCACAGCAAACGCCCCCTTCCAATCACACCGTGCCGGACAGACCAGCCGCTTAAAAGCGGAGCAACTCCCATTTTACGGCCTCCCGAAGCCTCGCATCCACCGCCTCCCCTCCTCCTCCTCTTCACCCTGCCTCCAACCTGCCTTCAAACCTGCTTCACGCTGCCAAAACGCCGCCACCAGTACCTAGGCCCCGGGGGGATTCTATACGCGCCCCAGCGCAGGAGCCTCCCCGAACTGAAGGCCGCACCGGGGCCTAGGGCGCCAAACCACCTCTCACTAAAATACTCAAAAGCTTTCTTGTTTCTCGTCTCTCCAAATTGGCTTGTAGCTGAATAACTCACGTGCTCGGGGATTCTCGCGGTACTTAGCTAAGCTACTAGACAAGACTAAATTCACGTGGCCTACCCAGAAATTTTCCCATAGGACTCAATGCATATTAAAACAGCTCAACCTCAGCTGACAGAGAACCTACAGCTTAAATAAAGTTGCATTTTGTGGGGATTTTAGTGTCCCTTGTCATCCTGAACTTTTTTTCTTCTTTTAATCCTTCGGTTTTGTTTAAATCCACACTTTTGTGGCCACAAACTCCTCTGCTCGTCTGG